TAGAGCGAAGCCAGTGACAGCTCCCGTGCCTGTCGGGGACAGGGATAGCCCGGGGGTAACGGGCACAGGAATAGGGAAAGGGATAATCCCAGACCTGGGGGGGGACAGGGATAACCCGAGGGGAATGGGCACAGGAATAGGGACAGGGATAACCCGAGGGGAATGTGCACAGGAATAGGGAAAGGGATGATCCCAGACCTGGTGGGGAGACAGGGATAGCCCGAGGGGAATGGGCACAGGAATAGGGAAAGGGATAACCCCAGACATGGGGGGGGACAGGGATACCTCCAGACCGGGGGAAAACCAGGATAAGAATGGGAATGGGGACAGGGACAGCTCAGGGGGGACAGTGACAGCCTGGAGGGAACATAAACCATACAATGGCTGAGGCACATGGTGTGTTCAGCCTGGAGGAGACCGAGAAAAGGCTCATCACTGTACACAACCCCTTCGATTGGGCGCTAAGCTGTTATGGTTCAGGAGCTGCTTGCAAATATCTTGACAGAACTCAAGGGAATGGTCAGAAGTTGTGTCAGGGGAGGTTTAAGTCAGATATTAGGAAAAGATTCTTACCCCTGAGGGTGTTTGGGCACTGGAACAGCTCCCCAGGGCAGTGGACACAGCCCCAAGGCTGACAGAGCTCAAGGAGTGTTGGACTATACTCTCTGATCACCCCTGTGGGTCCCTCTTCCAGCTCAGTATATCTGTGAAGTGCAGCACAGTCCCAGCCCAGGCTGATAGGGCTATAGCCCCAGCCTCTCCTCTCGGTGACAGCTGCAGCCAGGGCTGTCCCAGCTCCTCTCGCGGGGGCAGGAGGGGCACAGTGAGCCACACTCGGCGACCAGGCTGCACCTCAGCGCGTTTATTGCCAGTCCTGCCGGTACCGCCCCGGGCTCGGCGCTGCCCACGGCCAGAGCCTCCCCCTGCCGGGCGGATCCTCCCGCGATCCACCCCCTGCCCAGCCCCGCGGCCTCACACAGCTCTGCTGAGCTCCGCTGTCCCAGCACACAGCAAAACGTGGAGCTGAGCCACTCCAGAGCCTCGGGAAAGCCATTCCTGCCCCAGCCAGTGCATCATATCCACAGCCACAGCCTCTGGGAGGGTCCCGGGAGCTCTGTTAGGAGATGAAGTGTGTCTGGGGGGTGATTTGTTCCACCTTGTGGTCTGCTGGGTTTGCTGAGGCCTCGTAGTTGCAGATGGTGACCTCGTGACGATGAGCCTGAGTGAGGATTGAGATTGTTAAATCCAGAGGGGAACTCAGTTCCAGTCCCTCCTGAACTGGCAGGAGCTGTGCCAGTTCAGACTGTCCCATCACAGACCTCCCAACCACTCACATTTCTCTCTCACTGCCACAACTTGACTTAATCAGCAATTTAAAGCCCTTTCCACATTGTTGGCACAGTTTGGGCTCTCTCTGCCCTCACTCACCTCTGTCCACTCTCCTTTCAGGCCTATGTAAAAGATCTTGGTGGTCTCTGCTCCAAAGTTCTTTGGGAAGTGCATGGAGAGGTGAGAAACATTGGAGAAACGGGAAATTCTGGAAGGAAACACACAGTGATATCAGAGCTGTTACTTCCCGGCACTGTCACCTCCTCCCAACACAGTCCCATGGTCTCACTCTGTGGGTGGATCACCTTGATCTGATCCCCTTGGGAGCAAAGAGCTGAGGAGCAGCTTCCCTCACACCTGTGGGTCAGCACTGAGCTCTCACAGGGCACCAGGAGGATTGTGCACCCCAAAAAGTCCTGGGGCATAGGCACAGACTCCCCTAAGACTCCTGGGAGAAGGTTTTACACCAGAGCTCCCACTTGAGAAGGGCAGCATGGATCTGGGGAGGGAAATTGCTCTGTGCTGACCCTCTCCTAGCTCTGTCAGCACCTGAGCAGCTTGGACAGCTCCCAGAGCTGCTGTGCCAGGGAGGAGCAGCCCCACACCCCAGGGATGTCTCTTACTTGGTGGGATACTCCAGCTCTCCCAAGGGATCCCGGTTCAGGCTGAAGGTCTGCTCTGCTTCCCTGGCTGTGTCATCAAAGGACATGTGAGGAATGTTCCTGAACCTGGGAAAACAGGAAAGACACAGGAAGTCATTAACAAAAGGGCAGTTAATTGGCTTCCTCCTCATCCACCAGCACTGCTCAGGTCCTTCTCTACAAGAGACTGAGGGAGAAAACACCACAAAGCAACAACACATCCCAGAAAACACAACAGCCTGAAGAAATTACAAGGAAGAGCAAGGAACAAAGCTGGGGGGGGATACAAATATCTCCTGGGTACATGAGGAAGCCCAAATGTTGGGGGAAACAGGGAAAAGTGAGTACCAGAGATACCAGGGTACCACATAAAGAGCAGAGAGCTATTTACAGACAGAAAATATATAATATATAGATAGAAAGCAGATAAAAAATAGCAGATAGGTAAAATTCAGCACCAGCACTTGTGCTCAGGAGGCCAAAGCAGGGCAAGGTGAGCCCTGGCAGTGCTTCACATCGTGTCTGTGGGACACAGAGCACAGTGTTGGCTTGGTAAAGGTGTATTTTTTTTTATCTCCCAACTGCAGAGTACTCAATACTCTTTCATGAACATACAAAAGCAGCAGTGTAAAGGATCTCTCTCCCTTCAGGAGCTACAAGAGGCCACGTGGCTCAGCACAGCAGGATCACTGCCAAGAGTCTTACAAACCTCACCTGGCCAAGGGACACTCTGTCACTTCACTGTCACTCCTGTCCTCCCTTCCCCCTCCAAAGCACAACCCTCTGGGCCCTTTGATCCATCCCACTGAGCCTGTGGCAGGTTGGTTTCCTCACCACACACAACCAGTGCCTCCAACAAATGTTCTCATTAAACCAGCACCTCATTCCTCCAGAAAAAAGGCAACGAGTGAGTGGCCACACTCATCCCACAGGAGCTAAATGTTCCCTGCTGGATCCCAGGAGTGACCACAGCGAGGTGCAGTGTCGCTTCTCACACACACACCCCTCACCCAGCAGGGTGAGGAGGATCAGCTGAGGCTGCAGCATGGAGAGACCTGGTTTTACTCACAGCCTCATCTCTGCTGGGTGTGTCCCATCATCCTCGCCCATCACGATCACTCCTTTTAGCTTCACACTCCCCGTGAACCTGCACAGACACACAGAAGCAGCGATTTCAGCTCTGCTCTCCCCAGACCAGCCCCGGGGTGAGGAGCACTCGCTGTGCTTCATTCCTGGGGTGAGGAACGAGCCCTTGGCAGCAGCAGCAGCTCAGGGATGGAACTTACGGGATGTTAAACAGCAGCTCCTCATCGTCGTCACTTTCCACAAACTGGGGGGAGAGAGGAGGAGGTCAGGGAGGGACCTGGGGGAGAGCAGGGACCGGGGGAGAACAGGGAGGGCAGGAAGAGAACAAGGATCGACTGGGGGTGATGGGGACCCACTGGGGGAGAGCGAGGACCGACCTGGGGGGGAAACGAGGATCGATCCGGGGGGGGGAGAAACGAGGACCGACCCGAGAGGGGGAGAAACGAGGACGGGCAGGAGAGAGCACGAACCGAGCAGAGGAGAGCGCAGGGACCGACGGGGAAGAGAATGGGGACCAGGAGAGAGCAAGGACCGGCGGTGGGAGCACTGGGAGGGACAGCAAG